AGCTTGGCTCTGCGGCGAGACGTCGCTCGGGCAGGAGGAGGGGTGGTGGTGGTGGTCACTGCATAAGGGAAACAGAATCCCGAGCAGAGCAACACGCACCACGACCACGACGACGCCGACGACGACGACGACGGAGACGAGGCGCGCTTACGATCCGCACCGAAGCACGGATTTGGGAAAGGGCCCACCCTGCAGGTTCGGTTAAACAGCACATCGTTGAGCGGTGCTGCAGCCTCCCCTGAGCACAGGCCCCCCCAGAGCATCAGCCAGACAAGTCGGGTTTGCACCCTCATGCCTTGCTGGACTCTGGGCGCGTTTCGGCACCCTCTCCCCCAACCTCGTCAGGGCCACCGACAAGGGAGAGGGCGGCGGTGGCCGACGCGTCCCCGAGCTAAGAAGCTCAAAGCGCCGCGGCTCTGAGAGCCGGGAAGACAGACAGACAGACGGACGGACGGACAGCCAGGCGGCGTGCAATGCCTGGCAAGCCAAGTGGGTGGTCACTGCATAAGGGAAACAGCAGGAGGAGGGGGGGGAGGAGGAGGAGGAGGAGGCGGAGGAGGAGGAGGAGGAGGAGGAAGAGGAGGAGGAGGAGGAGGAGGAGGGCAGCAACGCCAAGCAAAGAATCGTCGGACCCAATGTCCCTCCCTACTGACGAGACTAAAACAGTTTGGATCCAATTGGCTGCAGAGAGCAGGCCTTCTCACAGAAATAACCCTGCTGGCAGGGAACACGCACAAGCCTGGAGACGACCCGAGGAGGTGGAAGAGATGGAGGAGGAGGAGGAGGAGGAGGAGGAGGAGGAGGAGGAGGAGGAGGAGGAGGTGCAGGCGTGCAGGTGGTGGTGGGCGCGTTTCTCCACCCGAGGCGCCCTCCCGCGAGCTCGCGCGCGGCGACTCGCTGCCCCGCGGGAACGGCGAGGAGCTGGCGAGTGGCAAGCCGAGGGGGCCGCCGAGGGGGCCGAGGGCGGGGCCGGGAGCGGGGCTGGGGCCCCATCCAGCCAGCCTAGAGGTCACGATGCGACACCTCCGTATGCACGCCCTCGCGGTCTGGCTTTCCGGGCGCGATCTCGCGGATACACGGTGGCACGGATGCGTTCCGCGCGTGGCATCTGCCAAACATCGCCCCGTATCCGCGGGGTCGCGGCCCGACGGCTCAGCCCGCGAGCCGGCGGATACGGATATCTGTCATTCGCCCATGACTCGAGCTTGTCCCGATCTCTCAGATCTGAGATCGACCAGACCAAGGCGATAACTTGCTTGGGGATGTGCTCTCAGAAAAACTGATGAAACCTCCTGAAGATGGGCACACATGGACAGTGACCGATCTCACCCTGGTGACCCTCCTCCTCCGGGGGCGGAGCGGGGCATCCGCCGCTCGAGCGCACTTTCAGAGGCCTCCTGGATGGGGTCCGAGTAGGTATGGTCAGATGGCATCGCCGCATCGCCGATACATCGGCGATGCATCACCCATGCATCGGCGATGCACTGGCGACGTGGGCGATGCATCGGCGACGTCGGCGTTGAGAAAATCGGGCCCCACATCGAACCGCATCGGCGATGCATCGGCGATGCGCCGCGATCCTCCGACCCCATCTACTCCGACCCCATCTATGAGGCCTAGAGCTCGAGCGCACTTTCTCTTCCGGGTTCAGGTCTGGACTCGGGGTCGGGCTTAGGTTCCGGCTCGGGCCCAGGGGACGTGGGCTCGGTCATGGGCCTCTGTGCTCGGGTGCTCGGGTGCTCGGGCTCGAGCTCGAGCTCCGGCTCAGGCCCATGCCCGCGGCCTTGCGGACCGGGCACGCTCCGACAAGAGTTTCAAGGCGGATCCCTCGATCCTCGAACCTCTCGGGGGCGCGCAAACATGGATTAGCGATCCACCCAGGCCGCGACCCCGCGGATGCGGGTCGCCTTTTCCGCGCATGCCCTGCGCGGAGCTTCTCCGTGCGACCGTGTGTCCCGCACATCCGCGGGATCGCGCCCCAGAGATGAGACAGCGAGTGCTCGGACATGGGCTCGCTCGCCGCTCGTGGAGCTTTGGGCGGTGGGGGTCGGGGATCTTCTGACCAGGGTCAATCCAGACCCCAGCCAATCAGGCCTTGCAGAATCCTGAAGAATCCTGCGCCCAAACCCGGGTCAATGCGAAGAATCCTGCGCGATCCTGCGAGATCCTGCGCCCAAGCCCGGGTCAATGCGCCCCTGGCCCTGCAGGATCCTGCAAGACTTGGCGCTCTGGCTGACCCCCGTCTGCATTGACCCCCGCCTCAAGGCTCCCGAGGGGGCGAAGATCCAGGGCGCCGGCACTCTGGACGACGCCTGCTTCCCGCCGGGGGGCCTCACTGAGGCTGCTGCCGGCCCTGCATACCTTCCTGCTGAGTCGCTCCGCCCGCCTCCGTGGCACCCCTCGCAAGGATTGCTCCAGCACCGCCACGTCGCCGAGGGAGGAACACCATCCGAAAATGTCTGAGGCGGCCATTCCGTGCTGTCTAACGACATGCGTGTGTGTGTGTGGTGTGTGTGTGGTGTGTGTGTGGTGTGTGTGTGGTGTGTGTGTGGTGTGTGTGTGTATGTATGTATGTATGTATGTCTGTCTGTCTGTCTGTCTGTCTGTCTGTCTGTCTGTCTGTCTGTCTGTCTGTCTGTCTGTCTGTCTGTCTGTCTGTCTGTCTGTCTGTCTGTCTGTCTGTGTGTGTGTGTGTGTGTGTGCGTGTGCGTGTGCGTGTGCGTGTGTGTGTGTGTGGTGTGTGTGTGTGCGTGTGCGTGTGCGTGTGCGTGTGCGTGTGTGTGTGCGTGTGTGAGTGTGAGTGTGAGTGTGAGTGTGTGTGGTGTGTGTGGTGTGTGTTTGTGTGTGTGTGTGTCGAGGCGTCAGCGCCAGGAGTCCAGAACGACTCAACAAGACCGGCAGCACTCATCCGTCTGCTGTCCTCTTTCTGCTACTGATGCTTGCCCCTGGTCCAGCTGAAAATACGGATGATGCTGCTCCTGGGACTTCTCCCAGGGCGCGTTTTGACTGGGCGGCGGAAAGTGGTGGCGCCGACGCAGGGGAAATGAGCGGTGCCAGTATCATGCTTTCACGCAATGGAAATGTATTTACGGACGCCCGCCGTCGAATTTGCCTGTGTCTTCAGGGGGTGGCGGTGTATCCGGTGTTGAGGCGTGCTAGAATGGCAGTGTCTGTCTGGTAGGGTTTCTATAGTCTTCTAAGGGACCCCCCTTCTCCTCGCCGCACCTCGCCGCGCGCACCAGCCTTACTCCCGGGTGCGTCCGTGGGAGGCCATGGCGCCTCCCTGAGGCTCTCCAGGATTCCTTGACGGCCCAGGAAGTCCCCAAAACAGTCGAAGAGGGCTCCGAGTCGCTGAACGATCGCGCGAAGACGCCCAAGAAAGCCGCAAGATGACACAAGAGGCCTCCAAAGAGGGCCCCGAGATGCAAGAATATTGAGCTTCCTTTGGTTGTTGAAAGATTTTGGCTTTTTCGATTTTTCGGCTTTCTGACACTCCAGGACGGCCCAAGAGGCACCCAAGACCACCCCAAAACGGCCCAAGAGGCCTCCAAGAGGGCCCCACAACGCCCTGAGAGCGCCCCAAGACGGCGCAAGAGACACCCAAGACGGCCCTTCCCAAGAAAGTGAGCACGAAGTGGAAATCCGAGCTTTCCGCCCCAAGAGGTCACCAGGAGGCCCCAAGAGGCGCCCGAGAGGCCAGAAGAGGCCCCAAAGAGGTCCACGAAGCTGTCCCAAGAGGCCCAAAAGAGGCTTCAAAACGGCCCCCAAGAAGCGTCAAAACTGCCCCCAATAGGCTTCCGATATGCTCCCAACGAGCACCCAATAGGTTTCATAGCCACAACCCAAGCACGGTGGCGGGACTTGCCGCAGGCAGCTGAATCCGCCGCCCCCTATCGATTCATCGCAGGGGTGCCTGGCGTGCTAGATGATTTCGGTTTTGGCTTTAGTTCTTTTCCAACAGAATTCCCCTGGGGCTCCAGCGCGTCCCGCCGGGGTCCCGGGAAGGATCTCAAAACGCATCCGTCGATGCATTTGTTGCCCCAAGTTGACCCCAGATGGCCTCCAAGACGGCCAAGATGGCCCAGGATGGCCTCCAAGTTCGCCCAAGATGGTCCAAGATGGCCTCCAAGACGGCCCAAGAGGGTCCAAGATGCCTTCGAAATCGTCCAAGGAGCCTCAAGACGGGCCAAGATGGCTCCAAGATGGCCTCAAGATGGCCCAAGGTTGCCAAGAGGTCCCCCAGGAGACACCGAAGAAGCCAAAATCATTGATTTCCATTGGTTTTTGTTATAATGATTTTGACATTTGCTTCTTTTAAGCCTTCCCGCTGTCGCCCAAGAGGCCCCCAAGATCGCCCCCAGAGCACCCACGAGGCCTCCAAGATGGCCCCATGACGGCCCAAGAGGCCCCCAAGATGGCCCCAAGAGGGCCCCACACAAGATGGCCTCCAAGACGGCCCCGAAGCGCCCCAAGAGGGCCCCAAGCCGGTTCAGAGAGGCCCCCAAGACGGCTCCCGACGGCGTCAGACGGGCCAGGAACCCACCAAGATGGCCGAAATTGGCTCGAAGCTGGCACAAGACGGCCCAAGAGGCCTCCAAGAGGGCCTCCAGGAAGGCCAGAAAAGGTAACAAACATTATTTTCCCTAAGGTTTTTGAAGGACTTTGACATTTGCTTCTTTTCGGCCTTCCGACGGCCCGAGACGGCCCAAGAGCCCCCAAAGATCGCCCAAAGATCGCCCAAGATGGCCCCAGAACGGGCCAAGAGGCATCCAAGACGGCCCCAAGAGGCCCCCAAGACGGCCCAGGAGGCCTTTAAGACGCCCAAGATGGCCTCCAAGACGGCCCTGGAACATTCCAAGAGGGCTCCAAATCGGCCCAGAGAGGCCCCCCAAACGGCTTCCGACGGCGTCAGACGGGCCAGGAGCCCACCAAGACGGCGAAGATGGCCCTAAGATGACCCGAGAGGCCTCCAAGAGGGCCTCCAGGAAGGCCCGAAAAAGCCGAAATCACTGATTTCCCATGAGTTTTTGAAGGATTGTGGCATTTGCTTTTTTTTCTGCCTTCCGACTGCCCGAGACGGCCCAAGTGCCCCCAGAGATCGCCCAAGAGGCCCAAGACGACCCCAAGAGACCCCCAAGACGGCCCAAGAGGCCTCCGAGACGCTCAAGATGGCCTCCAAGACGGCCCAAGAGCCCTCCAAGACGTCCTCCAAGAAGGCCCGAAAGGGTCAAAATGGCCTCCAGACGGCCAAGATGAGCTTCAACATGCCCACGTATTCCCCGAAGGCTTTCCAAGCCGATTCGGGGAACACATGGTCCGATAGCTTGGCAGGTCTGGCCTCAACGTTCGGCCACATAGGTGCTTCCAAAAAGGCAGGGGGCGGCGGTGAGTCGCCGTAGGCGTCTTCGATAAAGTCGCTCGCTCTCAATGGTGATATCTACACTACCACCCTCCACTGAGGCCCAGGAACAATCCATTGGAAGGCGTCTCGGGCGGCCTGGGCGCCCCAGGATGCCCAGGTGGTTCTGGGAGCCCGGACACACAGCGCAATCTACAATAGATCGTGGCCCGGGGAGCGCGGATGCAGCGTAATTTGCGAAGGATCCTGGCCCTGGGGAGGCGGACACAGTGCAACTTAGCGGGGAACGTGGCCCTGGGCGCGCGGACACAATACAATTTACAAAAGGTGCGCGGGCATGGGGGCGCGGACGCAGCATAGTTTACAAGGGATCGTGGCCCAGGGAGCGCGGACGCAGCGTAATCGTAATTTACAAGGGATCGTGGCCCCGGGAGCGAGGACGCAATGCAATCTTCATGGGATCGTGGCCCTGGGTGCGCGGACGCAGTGGCCCTGGGAGCGCGGACGCAACGCAATTTACGATCCTGGCCCTGGGTCAGGGACGTCCCGTGACACGTTCCCT